GTCATTAAATGTGTTTTAAGTGTCCAAGCGTCTGTTATATGTGATTTTCAAAAGTCACTGAAATGAAATAGTACTCACAAGTCTCTACTGTAACAAGTCTTAGAGGATGAAAAAAGAGAAAAAAGAATAAATGTGAGGCTTTAAGTATGTGGATGTGAGACCAGGTGGTTCTCCATAGCAGCATTTCCCCCAGGCATGCAGTTTTGATGTGTTACCTTTTAACTTCTAGTGGATTAACGATAAAACCTGCGAGTTGACACAGATCAGTAATTAGATTTTTCCCAGTGTCTTTATTTTAAGGAAGAAAGGAAGCTACTCGCTGTCTTGAGTTGCTTTATTTTTGGCTCACCTTATAGTTGTTCAGCTTTGAGACATTTCATGTTTGGATTAGGCATGCCTTTGGGCAAATTTGATTTTTATCAAAGTAATTTCAGACCGTGCTGCATTCACAAAGTTAGAAGTATAAAAGCTCGTTTCTGATCACCTTTAATAGGATAATATTGGTGCTTTCGTTAATTTTTAAAAGTAGGCTCTTGGATAACATAATTATTATTGTTCTGTCATAGATTAGTTATGTTCAAGTGCTTGCTAGTTAGAATTATAAAAAGCCATAAGTGATTGGAATTGTCAAAGCTTGGTTAATTTTTGTGGTTACTAGTAAACCTCTTTTCAAGTCCAGATTATGTTTACTTTACATGTGAGTTTAATTTCTTAATTTTAAAATGATTATGAAAATACTAGATTAGATGAATTTTGTTGATGGCATATGTTTTTTTAAACACATTTTTTTGCATGAAAATAAATTGTCAATGTGTTTCTAATTCTCAGTTTCCAAAATCAATCATCTGCCTTAATTGTGTTCTGTTCATTTATATTAATTGTAAAATAGCATGCTGGAAATTGTTTTATTCGTTCCATTCATAGCCAGGACAGGATGCTGTTGCATGTCAATATGCTCTTAAATTTAAAGTTCCTCCAAACTCAAAAGAGCAATTATAATTTTGTATAATTTTAATATACTTATTTTGTGGCTCTTATTACTAAAATGAGACTTTGCTTTTATAATATTAATAAATTTATTAAATTTTTATTTAGTGATTTCTTTTAGCTCTTCTTAGGGTACTTAAAAAGTGTTTCTCTTTTTGTTACTGTATTTACTAGTTAGGTTAGATTTTACAATATTTGGTTTAAACTTGAAATAAGAACTTTGACTTGTAATCCACATTTTCCTTTTTTTGGTTCAGTGAAGAAATTCTTAAATTATTAAGATGTCACTTCACAATCATGTTGAAACAGAAAATTTTTCATGAATTGTTCATTGTGATTATTAAGCCTGATAATGTCTTTACAAAAAGATGTCCCTGCCCAAATGACTGTTACTGACATAGGTAATGTGAAGTGCACTCAGCCCGTCTCCAGGCGAGGACTGAACAGGGTATGCCTTGAAATTACCTGAAAAATAATTTAATGGCTAATGTACTTGTCTATACCAAGAAATAGACTCACCCGTCTACAGTATCTGTCTTGGGGGGGCGGTCAATGGGATGTCTCTTTAATAAAAGTGTAAAAAAAAAACTATTTTGTCCCCTCGGATGAAATGATCTCCTCTCTTTGACAAAAATAAAATGGAAGTTCCCTGCAAGACGAGTCAACCAATCTTTCACAATTAATACTCCTGCCTAAAAAATGGAAGCAATTCATCGTGATTGGGTTCCTAAATTACATTCCTTTTTCTTGCCAGACTTTACATCTGTTTCTAAGGATGGAGAAGTGCTCAGGTTTAGTGTATGTAGTTGCTAAACTATATACTCAAAGATATCAGTAGCCTCTTTTTTTGTTCCTATGCTGAAACTGGAGTGCTTAAAATTTATTAAAAATGACTTAAATTTAAAAATTAAGCATAAAAAGGGATGGTTGGAGATCTGGGCAGGTACCCAGTCCATAGATAAGGAATAACATTTTTTGTTGGCAGAATTTTCTTATTCCATTAACACTCTTGGGTGATTCAGTTCCCTGAGGCTATCTTAAGGATGTACTTTGTGGAAAGACTGGCATTCTTAGAATTTCAACCACACAGTGTAACTGGTGTTGATGGAAAATTACACAAAACAGCAGTCCTGTTCTATATGGCTAAGCTTTGGTAGACAAATATTTTGTGAGTTTCAAGCAATACCAGTCATTAGTATGTACTATCACTGGTATAGGAAATAGCTAAATATAGCTGAATATAGCTGAGTGTTTTTTTTTTTTTTTTGTGAGGAGGACCAGCCCTGAGCTAAAATTCAATGCCAATCCTCCTTTTTTGCTGAGGAAGACTGGCCCCGGGCTAACATCTGTGCCCACCTTCCTCTACTTTATATGGAACGCCACCACAGCATGGCTTAACAAGCGGTGCGTCGGTGCACACCTGGGATCCGAACCAGCGAACCCTGGGCCCCCCCAGCGGAGCGTGCACACTTAACAGCTTGTGCCACGGGGCCGGCCCCTAGCTGTGTATTTTTGACAGAACATAATGGGAAAAATAAATTTTAGGGTGCTTTATTTTCTCCTGATTGATTTAAATTCAAAGATATAGCTCTCTTGTCTGTATCAACATTCCACTGAATACAAAGATTGTTCAGCAGAAGTGCACATGACCAGCATGTCTAGCATTCCCTGCTCAGTTGAGAAAATCATGATGCAGAGAGTTGAACAGACTTTTGCCCCTAATTTGTACCTTTGGCTTTTGCCAAATTCTTATTCCTAAGAATTTTCAGGGCCTATGGGATAAAGTTGCATTTAATATTCCTATTTGATATAGATGTTCTAACTGTGACAATAATTTCTAATTGAAAGAATCCACTGTACATGTACTATGGGGCAAATATATTGTTAAATCTTATCACAAAGATTCTAGAAGCATTTTGTTTGGACTTAAAAATCTCCATCAAATGGACTCAGTGACCTTACCAACTGGTTTAGACATTTCATGAAGTGAGTCTTCATTGCACTTCTAAATAAGGGTGGTTTGAAGAATTTATCTAATTTCGCACATACGGTAACTACCTTTCTCCACTTTTCATTCAGAGAATACTTTTTTATTTATAAGTGAAAAATATAATAAAGAAGTGATGAGATTTTAGAACTCATCATATCATGAATTCTTTAATTTACTATGTCATTGTTTACTGAAAATAATTTAAGTTGAATCCTTTATCATTTGCCTTCTGGTTGAGTACACTCTGGCCTTTCACTCTAGCTTTTAAAGATGGTGTTTTATTTTTAATATTGCATAGTGTCTAGCACAGGGCACCGTATATAAAATAAATACTGTTGAATAGAATTAGTGTGAAGGAATCATGTTCAGCTGAAGCTTTTGTTACTCTTTTGATAGCAGATACATTTAGAGGAGAACAATGGGCTCAGTTTGGATCATCATACTTGGCTATTCCAGCAAAATTTCCAATACTGCCATTCGGCCTCTTATTTGAAGTTAACAGCTGAAGGTACTTCATCCCAGAGTACATATTGTCTCCAATGTGGGAGATCATCTAGTATTTTATGCAAAAAGAAAGGAATGCATGCTTTGGACATATGATGTTCTGGGCTGCACTGGTGTTTCTGTCATATTAGCATAGGAACAAGTCCAGGGAGTAGTCTGATAACATAGCAAATCACCAAAAGCCTATTTTTAATGGGTGCATTGATTTAGAAATTGCAGCTAAAATGACTTACATGTGGTTAGATAATTATCCTGCTAGTATCCTGTTTACTAGCCTGTGTAGAGCATGGATCTCTTGGATATTATAGCAATTTTCAATATGGAATATGACAAGACTAAATAGTAATGCTTTAAACAAAGATAGGACTTGGTGTCTGAGCACTTACAATACTTAGTGTGGCAAATAATGTCTTTGCTTTATCCTATTTAATAAGGCTTTCAAATTTGGTGTATCTTCCACATCACTGTTAGAAGAGTTTTCATGATATTTTCTCTCTCTCTCTCCCCCTTCTCTCTTTCTCTTTCTCTTTCTGCTTTTTTTCTTGGTAGTTTAGGAAACTCGGCTTAAAAATAATAAATAACAAAATCATTTAGCTTATTAAAATATGGGGAAAGGGAACTTGTCAATTTTAATTTCAATGACTGCTAAATCAATAATAAAAAAACACTGAAATTAGAGGAGAAAGTTATTTAAATTATGAGCCTACTTCTTTCCTGAACAAGATGAGCCCTCTAAATATGGTAATTGGTTGTGTCAGTGTTTTTTAACTTCAAAAAAGTAACTTTTTGCTCCTTTATTTCCATGCTGTATATTTGTTGTGGGTACTGAATATTGTCATGAACTCAAAAGTAGATTTATAAAGAAAAATCTGTTCCAGATAATAGTCAGCCAATTGAATTCTGTCCTATTAGTACAGTGGGAAGAACAGGATTATATTTGTTTGGTCTTTCACATAAAAATGCTTTGTTTCTTCAAGCACTGTAGAGGCAATGAGATTCAGCTTTTGCAGACAGGTGGCTTAACCACAATGCCCAGCTGAAAAGAGCTTTCTCAGGCTGCTGTCAAGACTTGCAGCCAATATAAATGCGTTACAGCCAGATATAAACGCAGCCCATGCATTAAAAAAATATTAAAACACTTAATGGCCAAGCTTATAGATGGTACTCGAGTTTTATTCAGGCTCTGGTATCTGAAAGTCTCTTATGACTTTTCTATTTCCTTTTGCTTCAGGACATTGAAATAAGCCTGACTCAGAGACAAGATATGCATATTTATACGTGCTTTATAAGAACAACTTACCTTGAAAAAAATGCAGAATAACTTGGAGAGGACTGAATTATGCTTACTTTTCAAATTCCCAATAGTCCTTTATTTTCTGAACAGTGATTTAAAGTCCTTGTGAGAGAAGAGCTTTCGAAAGGGGTACTTATTAATGTGCTCAATATATTTATTTATGACCAAATATATTTTAAAAACAGCGTGTGTCCTAGATTTGGAAAATGTTGTTAGGCTTTTTTAGTGTCATTTTACTTCCTTTGGAAGACTTATATACTCAGTAAATATTTTAATTTTGACTGGCGAAAAAGGAGGAAAGATGAAAAAAGGAAGCCCACTAAAGCATTTCTAGTGTACAGTTGTTTATTCAGAATTCTCTTTACCAGAGCCTCAAATAGCATTTCTGCAAATCACACATGCAGTGATAATTGATTTTTATAATGATGAGTTGCAGTTATTGTTATGTATTGAAAAGCCTCTGAATCATTAAAGAAACATTATGATTAGATTAGTTTTAGTGTTAACTGTTTAACATTCTGTCTCTTTTCAGGGTACAGTGTATCATTCACAGAGATGCCTTTCAAATTTGCTCATGCCTGGGAAAGCTGGGCAGGGCTGGATAAATATCCCTTATGTTAGCCTATGCCGGATTGAAAGATACCCTCTTCTCTCTCTCTCTAATGGCTTCATCTGTGTCATAATAGTTTAGAAACATGGATCTAGCTAGTAGCTGAGACCATCTTGGTCATGTCTAGTTTTGGGAAACCAGGTTGTTGGCCCAGTTTGGACTATCCTCTGTGTTGCTCTCCCTATGCAGCTGCCTCCTTGCCTCTTTCCTTCCCCAATGCATCTTTCACAACTTTAGAGAGAATATTTCTGAAATATACTTTCATTCATGCCACACTTCTGCTCATGAACCTGCCATGTGTTCCTCCTCTGTGCTCCCCCCGCCATTTCAGTCTCTTTTCTGGCTGGCATCCACATTTAGGGTGGTGGTCAACGGAGCACAGAAAAGAGTGCGTCAAGGAGAAAAAGACTGAGATGGGAAAAGAGAACATGAAACAATTAAAAGAGATAAATTTGGATTCTTGGACCCTCAGGACAAATGATTTGCAATTTAGTTATTTTGTATCATGCTGCAGCTTGGAAATATTGTTTTAAGATTCTCAAGAGGGGGCCAGCCCCATGGCTTAGCGGTTACGTGCGCGCGCTCTGCTACTGGCGGCCCGGGTTCAGATCAGAAGCGGGCCCTCACCGACGCACTGCTTCTCCAGCCATGCTGAGGCCGCGTCCCACATACAGCAACTAGAAGGATGTGCAGCTATGACATACAACTGTCTACTGGGGCTTTGGGGAAAAAAAGGAGGAGGATTGGCAGTGGATGTTAGCTCAGAGCTGGTCTTCCTCAGCAAAAAGAAGGATTAGCATGAATGTTAGCTCAGGGCTGACCTTCCTCACAAAAAAAAAAAAAAAAAAAAGAAGAAATAGTGGGTAGTAGAAAGACACAAAATGCAGCAGACATACAGAGCACCTACCATGTGCTGCTCACTGTTCTAGCTGCTTGGGACACATCAGTGAATAAAACAAAGAGCTCTGCTTGGAGCACACGTCCTAGAGGAGTGGGACAGTAAGCAATCAACATCTTAGCTGAGCAACACAGCATACGGGAGTGCTGTGGAGAGAAGGAAAGGGAGAGCAGGAGAAGGGCTGGGAGCACAGGGTGTGGGGTGGATAATGTGCTCTTGCGAGACGGACGGAGAAGCCACTGCCTTGGTTCTGGCAACTTTCCAGTTAGCAGCTCCAGCTCGGGTGAATCCTGCCCAAACAGGCATGTTTATAGGGCTTGGCTTTTGTGACATGTAGCTATCCTTCAAAGAGTCTGCTTTGTTATTTGAACTAGTTTCAATCTGTTTCTATTCTGTACAACTTGGATGAAAACATTCTTATATGTTAACTTTTGGACACTTATCCACTTATTTTTGTGGGATAATTTCCTTAAGTTGATTATTGGATTAGTGAGTATGCACATTCAAATTTCTCAGGTACCTTTCAGGTGAGTTTGTGTTTTAGTTTCCTAACTCCCAGTAATATTGAGGGAGAGGATAAATATCCATGTGGCATATTGCCAAACACGTAGGATATCAAACAGGGTCTGGTCAGGGGCCAGAAACTATGCCATCACTGGAGCAGGGGAAATCTGATACAAAGAACTTTTTGTAAGATGAAAGGTGGTTAACTATTAAAAAGGATAAAAGAGAACACCAAAATCTACAGAGGAGGCATCTGTAGAGAAAGGTTACTACCCCGAGAGCTAAGGGAAAAGTCAGCAAGGAAGAAACTGAGCGGAAGGTTCTGCAGGGCTGAGAGTCAGACCTCTGTAAGAGACGGTGTGGTTGCCACAGGACCACACTGTTCGTCGCTGGGCTGATGAAGGAGCTTGATGGGGACATCTTGCCTTGAAAACTTGAGAGCCACCGCTTTTGTGGTGACTCCTGCTATCGGGGGCCCACTGCTGAACTGCCAGGAGTGCCCCAGCTGCTGGGACCCCTGCACGTCCCTTCTTCCTTCTCCAGCCTGGCAGTGTCCCTCCAGGACTCTGGAAGGGCTGTCCTAACAGTGAGCCAGCTGGCAAAGGAGAAGAAGAGTCTGCAGGGAAAACAAGGTGGGTGTGGAGTTGAGAGGCACTATGTTAATACCTGCAAATGTGAGCAGTGTGTTCTTTAAATCCATAAACAGAACAGTTTTGATAAAATAAGGCAAAAAATAATGGATCTTTTTCCTTTTCTCTGTATAAAATAGTGTATTTGAGTACAATGCTATTTGATCTGAAGCATTTTGAGCATGAGAAAAGTTTCTAATATTTTAAAAATTCCATCTTAGGGCTATAATTCTGTACCACTATGTGCAAAGTGATGGAATGGTTTGTTTCATCGTTCAGTTTTACCAACCAGGTGAAGACTAGATAGTGCTTGAGTCCAGAGAGAATTTTATTGATTTAAGTTTAATACTATGTATTAATCTTGCTGTGAACAGCTGTTCCTACTCATCAGATTCCCTATATCCTGCTCACAATTATTTTCCATGTATAACCCGCAAGCTTTTTCAAATGCATTTGTCTCATGGGAATCCAAAAGCTCTAGAAACATTTTTTAGTGTGTATTTCAGTGGTTGCAATTTCAAGGTGCAGTAGCACGTGGTGAGACCATCACAATTCGTCTGCTGTCTCTTAGGGAAGTAGTAAATTGTCCGATGAACTAGATATTTTTCTGTATTTATTTCTCTTCTTTTTTTTCCATATTGTGTCTGCTCAACAAATTATACTAACATAAAGAAAGAAAATTATTCTAAAATGATATTTTAACTACAAGTGCTATTTATATAAAATTGTCATCACGGCTGAATTTTTTATGAGTAAAAGCCATCCTCTTCTTCACATGCCGTATTACACAGCCTGAGGTCAAACTCCCATTATGTCTCACTTAGACTAGTAGGCTAGCCTACTAAGTTGTCTCCTGGACTCCATTCTTACCTGCTCCACATCTGTCCTCCATACTTTTTTTTTTTTTTTTTTGCTGAGGAAGACTGGCCCTGGGCTAACATCCGTGCCCATCTTCCTCTACTTTATATGGGATGCCGCCACAGCATATCTTGCCAAGCGGTGAGTCGGTGAGCACCCGGGATCTGAACCGGTGAAGCCCGGGCCACTGCAGCGGAGCGCACGCACTTAACCGCTTGCGCAACCAGGCTGGCCCCTGTCCTCCATACTTTTATCTGTGAGGTCTTTCCAAAAGACCTGATCTTGTTCCATATCAGCTTTCAAAAGCCTCCAATTGCTCTGCAGTGACTAAGTGCGTTTGCAAGGCAAAGCCACATTTCTAACTGCTCACCCCCTTTTTCTCTGTACCTCCGTTTCCTGAGCCACTGGCTATTTTGCACGAGTGCATGCTGTTTTGTGCCTAGTAGGTTTCTACTCATTCTTCCAGACCCAGATTAAGGGTTGCCATGAAGATGTCTCTGATACTTGGGAAGAGTTGTTTAATCTTTGCCACCAGTGTTTTATTGCAGCATTCATTCAGACATTTCAAATAATTGAGCACCTACTATGTTCAAGAGAAGAGAATAGAGAGTAATGGGGTAAAAGTTGGGCAATTTTAGGTAGGATGATTGACTTCTCTGAAGTAATGTTGAGCAGAGAGCTGAATGAACTGATGGATTGAGCCAAGTGGCTCTTTGGGAAAAGAGCATTTCAGGCATAGGGGTACAGTAAGTGCAAAGGCCCTGAGACAGGGATGTGCTTTGGTATAGAAAGAATAACATGGAGGATGATGGGCAGAAGAGAGAGCAGGGGGAGAGTGGTGGACACAAGGTTGGGTACTGAGTGGGAGTGAGGGCAGATCACATAAGGCCTTATAGGCCATGGCAAGGATTTGGGGTGTTCTTCTGAGTGAAATGGGAGGGGAAATATTGTATAAGAGCATACAGGGTAAGTCCCCCTCTCCAATGTGCTTTCACAGTAGGGAATAAATTAATTCTTTAGAACATGGGAACATGACATTTTCTAATTAAAATTATTTTCACTTTTGCAGCAAAACCTGACGTGCAACAATGGGTTAACCTGCTACTTTGCCTTTTGTGTGTAGGAGACATATTTAGGTGAAAGGAAATGATGGTTCTTAGAAAAATCAGTTTCTTCTTATCAAATCTCTGAAAATGAAACATGTTCACAAATTTTGCAATTCCTTGGAAAAGAGCCTTCTAGTCAGTAGTGGTTTTTGATCATGTATTAACCCATATTGCAAATCAAACTGTTGAATGGCCCATTTTTTTTCAATCGCTTTGTGTCTGAATACATGGACTGTATCTGTAATTTAAATTACTCTTTAAAAATTCAAGTAAAATCTTGGTAGAGGCAACAAAAATAGAAAAACAGAAGTATACAATTGTTTTCAGTATGGAAAATACTTTTTTTAAAAATGAGATAAGATCTTTATTATTTTATAGAATGAATTAATGTGTAATATGCATAACTTTTGCAATTTAAGGGGAATTCTAACATTAACATAAATACATGGGATATAATATATCTGGAATTTTAACTGACTTTTAAAAATAAAGTAGATATTTTAAAGTCATGGACATACTTAGGATTATCAAAGTCTATGTTAGAAATTATATGTGACAGTCAGGGAGGTGGGAATCTCAATAGTGCTACAGTTTATCTAATCAAGGTTGGTATAGTTATGTCATTCATTTTTGATATGAATTTCAGAAGTTCAATACCGAAGCTGTGAGACTGAATGGAGTCCCTGAAGAGATACATCAACTTCTTTTTAACACCTGAGGCTGTTGCATGACTAACAATGTTAACCTGCCTCACAAACTGATCAATAAAAAATTCAATTTCAACCACATTAAAACAACAACAAAAAGTTTCAACTACATAAAACTGTCCCAAAGAGATGTGAAGTGCATTAGAATCCAATGGGAGCACAGATTTTCGTTCATACTCATATTTCTACTCCCAACAATCTTACACTCAGTGCAAGACGGTGATGATGAAGTGGGTCTCCCTGTATGCTTAAAAGCAACCACACCAGAAAAGGAGGGAGAGGATGAACCAGAACGAACGTTTCTCAGAAAGTATCTTAAAGAGATGCCCTTCCCTACCGTTATCATATATTAGATGTACATTATTCAGTTTTGGATATTTGGTGATTTGTCAAAAAATGGAATATTTCTTTTCTGTGAAAGTCTCATGTGCACTCTCTAATGCTTCCATTTTCCCCAGAATTTCCTTTAAGTTCCAGAAGATATTAAATATAAAGCTCGACTTCAAAAAAAGTTGCTGAATTAGTGTCCCCTTCATCTGCAAGTTAGACAAAGCCCGCATAATCCAACAAATAGACACCATTTCACTGACAGTCCTTTTCAGGTGTTCTTTGGTATGTATGTGCTTGTGTGTATATTTTCAAACAACCAAAGAACTTCGTATTAAAGAAATAAGAATGATTTGTGTAATGTGACGTAGCCCATCCACATAGAGTAAAAACTTCTGAATAAAGAATAGGGCAGTGAATTTGGCCAGAGAGGACATGACCAGGGGGATCAAGGCCTGTGCTCAGCACACTCTGATATGGCCCAGCTACCTCGTCAAGCTTTGTACGGGGAGTCCCAGGGTTCCAGATCCTTAGTGTCCCAGCTGTCAAAATATCCCCGGGCAAGCCAGCCTGCCTAAATGCCTTTGTTGTGATGTATTCTGATTCTAGTGTGCTACCCTTGGTTTTGGCCTCAAAGTGCCTGGAGAGTCTCAGGAAGAACTTGGGAACAGAAATCACTTTGCTGGGGTGGGGTGAGGGTGTGGGGAGGTGGGGATGAATAGGGCCGGTCTGGTAATTTTTTATCCCGGGGGGCCTATTTTTTCCATGTCCATTTAGTCCCTAATTCCCATCATTATAGGCAAGGAAGACAGAAGATTCAGAAAAATAAAAAATAATGCACAAACAGGTTGTCTAGCAAAGAGGTAGTGAAAGTCAGGATCTGGGGACCAGGAATGGGAAATTCTTGAAAAAGGAAATTCAGATAGTCTTGTAAGAGAACTAGTAAGAAGACACAGGAATAGGATTAATTAAAGAAAGAGAGATAGACAGAAATACTGAAAAAGAAATAGAGAAGGTAGGTGAACAGATATCCCATTTATCTTCACATTAAGTAAAGCTTCCATGGCCATTTTCCACAATTCATTAATGTGATGAATCATTTTCTAACAGAAAAATTTGCCTGTGGTGTTAGAGCCCGTAGCACGGGGAAGGTTCAGACTTGCCTCTGCTGTGTTTTCTGAGCCCCCGTGGCTCCTCTCACCTGGCGTGGGCCTTTGGAGATGTTCTTGGAACTGCGTTTCTCCTGCTCATCAACCCAGCGGGCCTTGGAGGTTATTAACAGCAGCGTACTTTCGACTTCCTGAGCCGAAGCCCAGGGGTATCCACTTGTGCAGAGAAACACAGACGGGGAGATGGCAGCATTCCTGCCTCCTTCCCGGAAAGAAGTCATTCCTGTTAATTAAATGAGGAGTTTGAAAGGTGCTTGGAGAATTGTTTGTAGCTCTCCTGCGGACAGAGTTTTCTTTGTCATGTCTTTGGAAGTCAAGGCTCTAGTTCAAGCTTTTCCTTTGTGAATTAGAATTTGAATTCTTTTCATTAAGGGATATTAAATCTTTGCAGTCAAATCGCTAACTATAAATAAAAGTCATCGATCTCAAATGTAGATTGAACTATCTCCCCCTCTACTCCTTTAATTATAGCTCTGGGGAAATGGTTTGGAGACTCAAAGTGGTGAAATACATCAGAGTCAGAAGCCCAACTTCTATCTGCATTTTTAACTGCCCTTTGGGTGATCTATCCTTTCTTATCTGCTACAAACACTGGGGCTTGAAAGTGGCACCAGCCGTCAGCGAGGGTCCCGACTCCGGCCAGCGCTCCTTCAGTCTGTGTGTTGCTGCGGCATTGCTGGCTGGTTTACCGTGCGCTGTCATTTTGCATGTTAAGGAGCTGGAAGGGCGGCTCTGAGATACCGAAGTAAGTCTTACACCATGGGAAAAGTGGGAAATAATGCGAAAGAGCTTGAATTTTGGAGCCCAAGCCGGGTTCGAATTTCTGCCTGGCCTCTTTCTAGTTGTGTGACCCTAGGAAGGTCACTTATTTCTTCAACCCTAGATAAAAAGGTGAGAACTTTGTACACTGCTTGTGTCGTTGAGACATTGCCAGGCACCTGCTAGGCAATTGATAAATAATAGCTATTTTATTATTCAGGCATTGATTAATAAAATATTGTCACTTTGAATCTTTCTTAGAATTGGAGTCATCTAAAGTTCATACACTTCTCCATTCTCGGCTCAGGTACTGAAGGATTCAGGCACTTGGGAAAGATAGTTTTACTCTGTCTTCAAATTATTGGCATGTGAGTTTTCAGACAGAAGGCATTAAGTTGCATTTGAGCACTCATTGTCTCCAAGGTCATCTTCTCATCACGACCCCCGAACCCCGCCCTGTCCCTTTTATCCACTTTTTACTGGGGAGAACTGCATATTGTTGCACCTGGCTTTTCTCTGCACTGTTGCAGGTGTTGCCTGAAAGGTTGCTGACTTGTTTTTCTTCACCCTCTACCCCAAAACTCAATACAAACATGGATGTGCACCTCCCGTCCTCACTCACACAGTAGACTGACAGCTTCTCTCCATCATAGTCTCTTTTTAACTGAGCTCTCCTTTGCCTTTAAAGTCCTTAAGTTAAACTCGTTCTCCCGTGGTCATTGTCACCTGCATTGTTATAAATAGTAATTGTACAATGTCACTTAAGATTACCTTTTTATTAACTTCTCATTTTTCCAGCTATTTTGTAGCTTGGATCCTGCCAGAGACCTTTAAATGTGTCAGGTTTCTTTTCATCTGAATATTTAAAATATATTAAACAAAAATTTCAGACAGAAATATACTGAAGATCCTTCACCTAACAGTCGTTTGTTTCTGATGTTGCAATCATGTAACATGCTTGTAGTAAGTACTAAATGTGTAAATAAAGATGCCTGTTTCTGCAGTGGTCTAAGAAACAGAATGAAATTAATAAGAAAACCAATTCTGGTTGTTGACCAGACTTGAGAAAGGGTGTATATAAAGCAGGGGTTAGCCAACTATAGCCCGTTGGCCAAATTGGGCCACTGTTTCTGTACGGCTTGTGACCTAGGAATGGCTTTTCCATTTTTTAATGGTTGAAAAAAACATCAAAAGAAGAATAATATTTCATGATACATGAAAATGAAGTAAAACTCAAATTTCAGTGTCCTAAATCAAGTTTTATTGGCACACAGCAGCTCTCATTTGTTGACACTTGGTCTGTGGTTGCTTCTAGGCAAGACCAGGAGAGCTGCATAGCTGTGACAGAGATCGTCTGGGCTGCAAAGCCTGAAATATTTACTCCCCAGCCGTTTACAGAAAAAGCTTGCCGACCTCTGGTCTATAGCGTTCCCTGTAGGGAATGTCATTTATCTAGTTTATGATCTGTGTTATAATTCCTAAGTATTTGAGCTTCTTCTGTGTTATTAAATGATTTGCCTAAGATCACAATATTAGTAGCAGAGCTTGGGTTTCACATATCTTTTCAACAAGACCAACATTTCAAACTTAACTTAATGAAAAAAAAAATTAAAGAATGTTCATGTTGGAAGAAAAACCTGTGTTTTTAAAATATACAATAATTTTTCTCTTTTATTTATTCAATAGGATTTATTTAGATCAAGGGGATTTTCCAAGTAATTTATAAGGACCTTGTCCCTGGATTATTTACAATATAACAGGTTAGGGAGTAAGTACATTCAGGAAACAGCTGGTGAAATACAGAGTACGTCTATGATATTGAGCTACAGAGTTTGTACACACGTGCACAGTGAATGCAGCGAGAGGCAAAGTATCACGAAAGGCAGTTAACCCGGGAAAGAGTTAAAGAGTAGTATTTTTCTTCTAAATTTTGTGACATGTGATTTTAAATTTTGTCATAAAGATTCAAAGTGAAATATGAAACATAAAATGGAAACTGTTAGATAAACTAGAATAAATCAGTTTTATGTCTTGTATTTTGT